GTGTGTGTGTGTGTGTCTATCAAGATCTATGTCGTCACCAAGGGTTTGCCTTCATATAATTAGTGTTCACATCTCAAGAAACTAAGATGCAGTTGACCCACCTCTATTGCCTCAAGCCAATGGGAACCGGTATTTTCTGACGTTTTTCGTTCACATTTAGAATTCAGCATGAAGAAAGCTTGTTTTTAATGTTATTTATACAGGTATAATTACTGCACAAAGACATTAAATCAGACTTGGAGCCTGTGTCTTGGATGGAGGAGGGAGCAGGGGCACACTCTCCCTCCCTCTCATCAGTCGCTTCCCTCAGGTTGATGTCTTTGACCTTCAAGTGTCATTTTTACAATGGATACTTGTACTGTATTTGATCACGCTGAACTCTTAACTGGGACCAGTGAACTGTTCCCTGCCTCAACCTGTTGTCAGCTGTGGGATTATTGCTTGATTAAAAATCTTTAACAACACGAAGCACTTTTTTTTGTTTTGCTTTTCTGCCCACTTGTCCTCGGTGTTGTGCTTATTCTGTTTAAATGAGACCATCCTAACTTCTTTTTAGCTTAGCGCTATTACATTCATCTTGTCTTCTTATTGGTTGAATTAGGTTGAAGGTTTCTTTTTTTTTCCAGAGCATTGTCTGTTTTTTTTTCTTTTCTTTTTGAGGGGGGTTGAAGACAAAAACTCTTACTGAGCTGACAGTTTCGGCTGTCACTTGAGCCTTGTCGGAGCTAAAAAAAAAATTTAAAAAATTTAAAGGCAATTGTCTGGAAAAGAAAAGAAACCTTAAACCTAATTCTTTTTACCTTGTCCTAACAACTGACAAGATAAAATGCATTGCTCTATTTTTAAGTAACTTTACAATTTGCAATCACTGTATTGTATTATCTTTCCATGTCAGAGCAAGAAATGTGCTGTTTTTCTGTGTTGTGACCCAAGGTGACGGTAACTATGCTTTAAAATAGTTCAGTAACTGCAGGGATGTCAAAATACCTAGAACAGGCAATTGATTTGAGTTTCACCATTGAAAACAACATATTCCAACTCTATTTATACATTCTGCTTGTGCATATATTGTGATCCTGTGGGTGTCTTTGAAGGCTCACTCAATCAAGTCAATGTAACAAAAAAAGCTATGTTTTTCATTACCCGGTAATGAAAAACACACCTGCTTCATCTCATTTGGTAGCCAATGGGGAAAAAAATTCAAAAAGCAGACTTTGGTTCATCATTTTTCTCATTTCATCTCTATACCGTACATTTGAAAGCGAGAGTGTCAACCAGAATTCCGAACATAAGAGCTTGATAAACAAGCAGATCTTCATTTATCACCCCAGTGTATTTAGAGAAAGACACAAATCTCATTGCTTTACTCTTCTTACGATAATAATGTTGCACCGAAAAAGGAACCAAATCGAACCGCATTTCATAGTTGTTATGACATTTTAGTCATAAATTCATGGTGCTGGAAACGGGGGGGTCCTGTTCACATGTGGTGCCTAACTTTTCATGTCACCTTCCAAGAACACGCTGTTTTCTATTTGGGTTGTTGTCTTTATTCATATCGTGCACCCTCAACCTAATGACAAATTGCTTTTGTCAAGGAAATGGTGGCTGGAACAGATCTGATTATTATCAGGCACAGACATCACCAATGCAGAATTTGAAGGTTCACATCATACGTAGCCTGCATGGACTTGTACACAAACACAGCTGTTATAAAGTATATTCTATGAGTGACAGATTGCCAGTGGACAGAACCGAGAAGCAGTACACACGAACGGTAGGCGGTGTGTGCGGCGTTCACGAATAGAGAGACCTACGTCCCCACAACTGAGTACTACATACAGGGTAATTGTCATCCCTTCACTGGAAACGATCGCGATAGAATCAGCGTTTGCAAATTGCGTGTGTTTGCAAAATTAAGTTTGCCCCTTTTGGATGTTACCCACATTTGAATCGATGGAGGGTATGTAATGTTCAGTCTTTGTATTATTTGTTCTCTTTTACTTCTGTCTGCTCACTGCCCGGTGTTGACGCGTGTGGAGGTGTTAGTAGCAATTTGGTTGAGTTGTTTCATGTATTCTGTTAATATATCCACAGCCACATCACATACGTGTTACTTTTAATGTACAGTCCATCCATCCATCCATTTTCTGATCCGCTTAGCCTCACAAGGGTCACGGGGGGTGCTGGAGCCTATCCCAGCTGTCTTCGGGCAGTAGGCGGGGGACACCCTGAACCGGTTGCCAGC